GCATTACCCCAAGAGCAAAACCAGACAAAGATATTATAAGAAAAGAAAACCACAAACCAATATCCCTCATGAAAACAGATGTTATAAATCCTTAACAAAATATTAGTAATTGAACCTCGTAGTATATAAAAAGGACAATACATTATCCCAGGGTTTTATCCCAAGAATTCAAGGTTGTTTTAATATGAAAATAATCAATGTTTTTGACCTTATTAACAGAATAAAGGTAAAAAATCATATTGTTTCAATAAATGCAGAAAAAGCATGATTCAAGGATAAAAACACTTAATACTTTAGGAGTGGAAGGAAATTTCCTTAACCTTATGAAAGGTATCTGTGAATAACCCACAGAAAACATTATAATTAACAAAGAAACACTGAACCTATTCCCCATAAAATCAGGAACAAAGCCAAGGAAACCTGCTCTCACCTCTGCTTAACGCCGTGCTGAAGATCCTAGCATGTACCTAAGACTAGAAAAAGAAGAACAGGCATGCAATTGGGAAAGTAAGAAGTGTAATTGACTTTACTTATGAATAACGTGATTGTATACATATAAAATCAAAAAGAATCTACCAAAAAAAAGTTCCCAGAAATAAGTGAACTTAGCAAAACTGCCAGTATCAAGTCAACATATAAAAATATTGAAATGTTAATATATCTGTACAACGGAATCCTACTCAGCATTAAAAAGAATGAATTACTGAAACACTCAACAGCGTGACTGGATCTCAAAAACAATGCGCTGAACAAAAGAAGCCGACACAAAGCGCATATAGTATGATTCCATTTGTGTATTGTTCTAGAACAGGAAGAACTCATCTGTAGTCACAGAGAGCACACTCGTGGCTTCCTTGGGTCGGAGGTTGGGGATTGATTGCCAAGGGTCCCAAAGGAACTTTTTGAAGTGATTAAAAAAAAAAACATTATCTATCTTTTCAGTGATGGGTACATTGGTGTATACATTTGTCAAAACTGACTTAACTGTACTTAAAATGGGTATGTTTTATTGTTTGTAAACTATACCTCCGTAGAGTGGATTTTAATAATTGAAATGTAGGTATCACCTCCTAAGCAGAAATCAACTTAATGATTTGAGCCGCTAATAACTAATTTATTCAAAGCAGTTAGAGAGATGTACAGTGACATCCTGGCTTCAGCACTTCTATTTGCACTCTGCTGGGATGGACAGGGACACCGTCCTGCAACCCAGAGGCAGCGGCAGCAACGCCAGGCCGGGAGGGTTGGGGGAACAGAGGAAAGAGGACAGAGAACCTGTGCAAACGTTATCCGTTCATGAGTCACTCCCCGTTGCTCCTGTGCCAGCTGGCGTGCCATGACAAATCCCCTCCTTAGTACCCTCAGCGGGATCCCATAAAGCCCTTTTTTCTAGAAAGGGCGATACAAAAGCCTCGAATTCAAAGAGAGATTCTCGCTCTCCTCTCCTTCTAGTAGAATAAGTTGGGTTACGTTTAGATTTTACTTGCAGTTGTACCTTAACAGTATGTTTGTAGCCTTCTCAGAAACGTCATATTGAGATTCATTCATTCACAAAGACAGTCGACCTATGAACAACATCGGGGTTGGGGGCACTGCCCCCCCCATGCAGTAAAAAATCCATTTATAACTTTTGACTCCCCCAAAACTTAACTACTAATAACGTACTGTTGACTAAAAGCCTTACCAGTAACATAACCAGCCGATTAACACATATTTTGTATGTTGTATGTATTCTATGCTATGTTCTTATAGTAAAGTAAGCTAGAGAAGAGAAAATGCTATTAAGAAAATCATAAGGAAGAGAAGATATATTTATTGTTCATTAAGTGGAAGTGGATCATCTTCAAGGTCTTCATCCTTATCATCCTCACATTGAGTAACAGAAGAGGAGGGATGGGTCTTCCTGTCTCGGGGGTGGCAGAGGTGGCAGAAAGTTCGTGTGTAAGTGGATCCACACTGTGCTCGTAGCTGGGAATTAAATATTGACAAAAAAGCAACTTGAGGTGGTGGGAAATGACTGGGTTGAGTTCAAAAGACCTGGTTCTAGTCCTGACTGTGCCCTATAACTGTAGAGTGACCCTGAGCAAGTCATGTGACCTCTCAGGGCCTCTCTTTTCCCGTCTTTCAAATGTCACTTTTAGGAATTTTAACTATTCCAGCAATGATTTCTAGTTTGATAGCCATTGTCAATATCCACTGCTAACCAGACCCTGGCTTTACGTGAGCTTGTCTGTAGGACTTGGGCAGGAGGTTAATTGCGCCACTGTGCCCCACAGGTCGTGGCACGGTGCCATCGCCTGTCCATTCCACAGCCCTTAGTCCATGATGCCATCCTTGGAGGCAAATCAGAGTCACAGGAATTTTAGAAATTCCCAGTGCTCAGACTGCACCTCAGACCAGTTAAATCAGCATCTCTCAGGGGTGAGATGCAGGTGTTTGGAACTTTTAGACCCATTTAACACATTAACTGCCATGTGAGTTGTATTTAACTCACGCTAGTTTTGAGCCCGGGGCCTCGTGAGGCATATGTAACTCACACATCTCTTCACCTTGGGAGCTGCATGAACTATTTTTCAAGTTGCATATAACTCATGCACAGAAAACAATTAAAAAAAAACATTTTTTTGTTGAATTAGAAAGCATCATTTTGTATTTTCAAAGGTTTTATTCTATTTTCATAATAAAACACCATGACTCCAAGGAAACATTTTCCTTTCTATTGTGGCAGTCAATGTGCTAATGATCTACTCATTTTCCCTTAGATACTAGTCATCACTCATTTCCCTTTCCCTTCAGAGGCGGTAGCTCTGTGGGATTTGATACATGGCCATGAATTTGAGCATACTGTTTTGATAGCAGGTAGTGTTGCACGTGTATTTATTTGACCTATACTTACGGTGCTGACCTGTAGGCCTGCTGCAGCCCCTTCCCATCAGGGCAAGGAGTGGGTCCTGAGAGCTGAGCCCAGGGCATATCTGAGTCCATGGGTCACCGCATATTTCTACCATTTTGAAAAAACTTTTGGATTCTCCATTATTGCCTGTTATTATCAACATCATTGCTCGATTCAGTTCATTCGTTCCACAGATATTTATTAAGTTTCTACTACGTGCCAGGCACAGTGTTCTAGAGAGTCAGTGGAGAGCAGAAATTAACCAGATGGAGGGAAAAGCATTCTAGGAGGTAGGACTGGCAGGTGCAAAGGCCCTGTGGCAGAAAGAAGCCTGGCCTTCGGTAGAACTGAAAGGATGTGTGTGGCTGGAGCAGAGAGTGCCGGCTGCGTGAGCCGCGTGGGAAGGAGGCAGACTGCCCAGCACCTGGCGGACAGGCTGTAGCTGCAGAGGAAATTAGAGGAAGTCATCCTCTGCATACTGTCTCCAAAAATGGGGCCTTTTAGCAAAATATTGACTGACTGTGGTTTTTAGGACCACAATAAAAAGACATTAGCAAAAGCAGTGTGAGAGCATGACTCTGAGTCATACAGAGAAAGTAACCCAGGAGAGGCTCATTTTTATTGGTTCCAACCCAGACAAAACTGCGGGCCTTACCACCAGGTTCACTCTCCCTGATAACAATAGCTGCTGTGCTAAGGGCTAGATCGGTGCCAGACACTATCGTAACCACTTTATTTTATTGTCTCGTGAGACTCCATGACCAACCTATGAGCTAGGAGCTGTTCCTCCCCTTCCGGAATGGATGGACACACAGATTACTAGCCTGCCCACAGTCACACGGCTACAAAGTGGTAAAGCTAGACATTGAACCTAGGCCATCTGTCTAGAGGCCAGTCCATCATCACGCAGTGCTGACGTTGGGACCTAATGGTGTCCCCGCTCGTGGCCCGTGTTGCAATGTTTTGTCTGTATTCAGAGAACATGGAGGGCACGGTGTGGTTTCCAGCAGGCGGTGACACAGTTAGATTGCGTTTCCCTTCGCTTTGCACAGATGACAGACAGTGGACACGGACACCATCACTCCCACGAGGTGACATATGCTCGTAAACCAGTCCACGAAACCAGGAAACAATTGAAATTCGCTAATTGCCATTTCAGGGGGGCTTGAGGGATAATGGAACAGGCAGAATGTAATTACTGTTATTGAGGCCGATGGAGTGAATTCGCTTGACGGATGTGCTGTTAGACAATTGTCCTGCCCCAAGGACTCAAGTGTTTGACTAGATTCTTGTGAAACCCAGAGTGAGCTCCCACATCCTGCACTCTCTGGGATGAGAAACAAGAATGTTCTGGAAGCTATATGGAACTTGTGGGCTTCTGTACTGACAAGCAACCTACCTGAAATCCAGGGATATTAATACATTGTCAAGAGCCTTGGGCTAATCTGGAATCATGACCGTTTCTGCCGTCAACGTCCATGCTGGCGTCCACGCACACTACTGCCTAAGGGTCTGTGATTCCATGGTGTTTGGTCCATGGAACCCAACGAACAAGAGGGACACAGACCCTCTTTATAACTTATACTCTGAAATATTCCGTAGCCAAATCACCATTTGTTGAGTACCTATTCTGTGGCAAGCAGTATTTCCTGTAGTTGTCACAATAGCCCCGACAAGGAAAGCGCGTCCCCCAGGGAGTCTAAGTAACGTACGCAAGGTCTCACAGCGATGTAGGGAGAGGGTATGGTGTGTCATCCAAAGTCTTCTTGGCCCCAAAGCTGGGGCTCTTGGCTGTTGCTATAAAAATATGTCCATGAGAGTTTATGCCTGTTGTCTAAGATGCACTGACCAGAGTACAGAAATAATCCTGTTTTTTGCAGACATAGACACCAATGTCTGGTTGTCGGTCAGCTGCTAAAACTCAGATGTTGGCTGAAGAAGCGACATTATCTACCATCTCTGTTCCCTTCCCTTTCCCACCGAAATAGAGACAGGCTCAGCTGCAGGGCTGTTCACCCAAAGCTGCCTCCGAAAGACTGCAAGGCGTTCGGTCCCCAGGATGTCAGGCAGGCAGAGCCCACTGAGAGCGATTTCTTTTGTTCAACAGCTGCAGAACCAGGAGCTGCTAAGGGCCATGATGAAGAAGGCTGAGCTGGAGATCAGCGGCAAGGTGATGGAAACCATGAAGAGACTGGAGGATCCCGTGCAACGGCAGCGCGTCCTGGTGGAGCAGGAGAGACAAAAATACCTTCACGAGGAAGAGAAGATCGTCAAGAAGCTGGGGTGAGTGTTCCCAGTCACTTGTTGCACGTTGAGCTATTTCACCTGCAAAGGAAAATTGTCTTTGCCAACAAGGAGGGCCTTCCCAGTTGGTGTCCTTCTCTCTTTATGGAAAACCTATTAATATTAGGTACAAGGTCAAGTTCTGCAGGCGCTGGTATCCATGCACACTGACGTACCCCTCCTGAGGCCCAGGGAGTTCAGTAGTCCTCCGTCCGTTAAAGAGACGACTGAGCTAGTGTCTTTAGAAGTTGCAGCATCATACTCTTTCCTGGGAATCGGCAACACATAAAATTAAAAGAGAATGGCAAAACCCAGTGATAAATGCGCAGTATGTATTTAATCTCATTAAATCAGAACTAGTGGCCAAAATAACACAGCACTAAAATTATCTTCCTATTATACAACTGTAGTTAAAAATCGCAAAAGGAGAATTTAGATGTAAAGTGAATCTGATCCAGAATGAAGGATGCTTCCTTACACGTTGTGATCGTTATTTAAGGTTCTTATTGAAAGCAGCTATCCAGTCCCGCCATTGAAATGAGCAGGGTTTTATTAATCCCCTGCCTGGAGACAGGCACATCTTTTATGTTAATGTATGTTTTGTTATGCAATGAAGAGTGATCATAGAACCACTTCCGCTTTTAGAATAATGAATAGTGATTTTAGGGGGTTCCTCTCATCTTGATAATTCTCTTGTTTCTTCGAAAGCTTAAATGGCCCAAATCGGGATTGTAACGGAGCAACTTGCAAATCCCCATGACCAGAAGGACCAGAAGTCTCCATGATGGGTTGTGTTGAGTTCTGTCACCTCTCTTATGTTGGAGCTATAGCTTATAGCAGCCTGGATGCCAAGCCGATGTGTTTGATTAAAACTAGAATTTTCCTCTCAGTAGTCAAGAGGAAAAAAAAAAAAAACTATTTTGAGTTATTCCTTTCCTAAGAAATTAAATTAGACCGCTGTTCATCCACATCTCAAAATAGCTTCTAAAATTTTACTTAGTTCACACATTTATAGACAGAATTAATCACCCCACCATGAGTTAGTAAAGCTATTATTTGTCTGGAATGTTTTTGTGGCAGCCCAATTATCTAAAACTAGGTCTCAAGATTCTTCTTGAAAAGTCCTTTAGAAGTACACTTTCTTTTAATGATGTTTGTCTAAATTTTTGCAATAAAATTATGAAAAGAAGTAATTTTCCTTCTTTTAAGAATTGTGTTTGTTGGTGAGCTGAGATAACTCCTGGCCTACAAAAGCCATCTTTAATCTCAATAATAGCCTGACAGTAGGAGCCCAGCGCAGGAATGAGACAGGAAAAGTAATGGAACGAGCTTTTCCTAAAAGGACTTTATCTGGTTGGATTTGTGCGGTGGCCACAAATGAATAAGATATACACAGGGCCCTTGGGAAACTAGAATCTAGCAAAGCAGAACATATAAATATGAGTAAAGCACAAAATTGGAGATTTACAGATGCCTGGTGAACCTACACAAAGGAGAGACTGCTCCCGACCCCGGTGATCAGGAAGACGTAGCCTGAATTTAGTCGTTCTTCGTAAGCTCCGAGGCCACGCACGGTACCATGCACACGGTAATTTCAAAAACGATTTGTTAAACGAACCGAGATGGCTTTGAAGATGGGGATTTCCTCAGCAGAGCCTAGAGAAAGAGAGGGCCTTCCGGGCAGAGGAACCCTACAGACCAAAAAGTCTCTGGACCCAGAAAGTATAGGATGTCCTTGGAGAATTGGGGGTGGTCCAGTTAGGTGGGAAAGTTGGGTGCATGATACTGATATTGTCACCTATTGGGGTTGTGCCATTCCCGTTTGCACGGTGCCTTCCCCTACTTAGACCTTGCTTGACGCCTGTCTGGGCTGTGCTTACTGAGATTGGAAGATCATAGAAACCTGGATTTCTGGCTTTTCATGAATGTTCCTGGGTCTAACCCCAGATTCCCAAGTTCTCTGGAAGGAATTTAGGAATCTACAGTTTACAGAGCGCCACGGGTGACTCTGAAGCACCTTGACATTTGAGAGTTACTGCCCAGCATGGTGAGGAAGTCACCGAGGTCTTCTTGTTGGTCAAGGAATTAGCAAAGTCAGAGCTGTATTTGAGAGAGGTCCCTCTGGTGATCTTGTGCAGGGCTTATTCAGGGGAAAAGAGATCGGTGTCTAGGAGACCACATTGGAAACTCCTGTCCAGTCCAGGCAAAAGGCATGAACCAAGCAGTAGAAATAGGAATAGAAAAGAAACTACACGCAAAATGCACTAAAGTATAATCACCTAAAACTATGTCTCAAGAGTGTTCTTTAAGATGCCTTTAAATATATATATATGTATATATATATCCTATGAATAATAACTGATAATAACTAATTGGATGGATAATTCTAAGAGGCAAGAGACCAAGTTATAAAAGACAGCCGGAAATTTCAACTCTGGAACATTAGGAGGAAGGTGATCTCTCTCTTTCCCTCCCTCCCCCTCCCCTTCTTCCTCCTCCTCTTCCTCTCTCTCCTGCCCTGCACTACAAAGTGTGTCCCCTTGTAGAACATGTTGGGCTAAGTTACTGGCGAGCCCTTCCTAAGGCAGAGAGATGAAATTTGGGTGTAAAACTATGGAAAGAAATTGAGTCCAGATCAATCTCTAGGGAAATAACAGTTGGGCTTCTAATAACAGGTGAAATATATTTTAACAAGCTTTATGCTTCTTTTTAACAAAGGCAGAATGAAAAGCCACTAAAATCGAATGCGAACAACGGTAGCATCCGTGAACATCTGACATTCTGTTGAGCAAAGCTGATGCGTTAAAAGTCATATCGATAAAAAAAAAAGTCATATCGATTACCATATCAAAAATGTATTTCAGCATTTGTTTTACTTCCGTCGTCTCTTTTACATTTTTGAATTAACAAATGTGATTTTTAATGCCTTATCTCAAAGAGGTATACCATAGACATGCACAGAAGTGACATCGTTCTGTATGATCACATCGGTACGTGTTGTGTACAGAGTGTGTAGAAGAGATTAAAATAGGATTTTAGGCAGACAAACTTTGGGTCAGATGACATCTCCTTGTGGTATTAATTGCAAACTGGCAGACTTGGCGGTTGTTAAGAGAACCGTGACAACATTTGGGTCTTAGCTCTTCTATTAAAGCTTTGCAGAGTTGGACAGTGTGTCCAATCAACACATGGAAACAGTCTGCTTGTGCGATGGAAAAGAACGTTTGCACACGGCGGTACCACATTGAGAGCTCTTAAGAGGGAAGGCACACAACCTCTCCACCTCGAGGATGCAGTAGCTGTAAGGAAGTTTCCAGTGGGTGTGTTCACAGAACACTGGGCACCTTTCTGTAGCTCACAGACGTGGACGATGAGCACATGAGGCTTTCTTCTTTGGTCTTGAAGGAGCATCATTTCTTCTCAAATGGTCATAAGCGGTTTTGGTCCATTTTCCAAACAGAATGAAAGGCGTCACCAACAACTCCATCCCACTTCACAGACGTGGGTAAACTTGTCAGCTGCCCCGTGGTTCTTGTTGAACACGTGGGACATCCCGCATGAACCCCTCCCACAGCAGCCATGCGATCCACAGCTCCGTCTACTTGCCCACCTCTTGGAGAGGGTCTTTGCGGGCCATCTGTCTACAGATGACACCGCGCCTGCCTTTTTCTCTTCCCACTGCCAGAGCCACGCTGTCACACTCGGGGCTGCAGGAGGTAGAACTGCTGTTCACTTACTGCCACCTAGTGGTTCTTCGTTTCTCAAAGCTCTTTTTCCCTTTTTTCTTTGAGAGATTTTCTCTCGGTGGATTTACAGGCAAACTGAAACCACACAGACACGTGTTTAGGATGGGGTTAGGAATGTGCCCAGAGGGAGGTGGTGGTGGTTGTTTCATGTGGAAGACCTTAACCTCGCTCTGCTGGGGCTGGCATCTCCCTCTGCGCGCACACGCACGCGCGCGCGCGCACACACACACACACACACACACACACACACACACACACAGAAATCAGATCTGTAGCCATCTCTCTTTGTAGCTTGGAGAGGAAAGAGTCCAGCTTTATTGATGGGACAGTTGGTAAAAAACAAGAGGTTCTCACTCAGGGGCAATTTTGTTCCCCCTTCTCCCAGGGACATTTGACAATATTTGGAGACATTCTTGGTTGTCCCAGTTTATGGGGCAGTGGGGAGAGGTTGCTGGTGGCATCTGGCAGGTACAGGCCAGGGATGCTGCTAAACGTCCTGCAATGCACAGCACGGTCCCTCCCCCCCCCCAACAAAGAATTATTTGGCCCAAAATGTCAAATGCCAAAGTTGAGAAGCCTGATAGAAACTAATGTGGGCTTCTCGTTTTGCTCCAGTATAGGTTTTCTTTCCTCTCCTCTCCCCTCCTCTCTCCTCTTCTTTTCTTCTCCCTTCCTCACTCTCACTCTCTCCCTCCCTCTCCCCCCTACACACTAAGTACACCCCCCTTGGCTGACATAAATACCATTGGAAATAATGAGCGGGTCCCCCATCAGCCAGACTCAATCTCTTCGCTCTGGCCGAGCTGGGCCTCCCCACGAACAGGCCCCGGGGAACCCTCCTTGTCCCTGCCTCTGCAGAACGTTCCACGCCATGCAAGCTGCTGTCTGGGATGCACGCCCAGCCCCTGAGTGGAAGGCGGGGGAGGCGCAGACCAGCCCTCAGCTTCTGCACCTTCCTCTTGGGAGGACCCATGCTCAGCTCCTCGGCCGGTCTGCTTTCTCCCCGCAGCGAGCTGGAAGACTTCGTCGAAGACTTGAGGAAGGACTCCACGTCAGCTGGCCGGGTGGTGACTCTGAAAGACGTGGAGGATGGGGCTTTCCTCCTGCGACAAGTGGGCGAAGCCGTAGCTACCCTGAAAGGTAAGCGTTCAGCTGGAGGGGAGAAGTCTGAACTGGCTTTCCTGGGGTGTTTAAAAATCTGTCCGGTCGTGACAATGAGAATCTGCCAAGTTCGTTCATGTGTGCGAATATTTATCAAACACCTACACGCACCATCGCTGTCCTGGGCGTTTGGGACCCGTCAGGGAATGAAGAAGGCGAACATCCCTGTCTTCTTGGAGCATATTGTAGTGAGTGCTGTAAAATTTCAGACTAAATGATACTAATGAGGCTCTCTGTGCGCTGGGCTCTCATAGGTGCCAGGACACCTGTGTCAAACTCTGTTCTTTCTTTCCCTTTTTTTTTAGAGCCAGGGTCTCGCTCTGTCACCCAGGCTGGAATGCAGTGGCATCATCATAACTCACTGCAGCCTCGAACTTCTAGGCTCAAGTGATCCTCCTGCTTCAGCCTTCCCAGTAGCTAGGACTGCAGGCACACACCACCATCCCCAGCTAATTTTTTAAAATTTTTTGTAGAGATGGGGTCTCACTATGTTGCCCAGTCTGGTCTCAAACTCCTGGCCTCAAGTGATCCACCCTCCTGAGCCTCCCAAAGTGGTGGGATTACAGGCGTGAGCCACCGCTCCTGGCCTCAAATTCATCAAAAAACAACCCTAAGCATCTGTTGGCCTGACCCCAAATATGCGGATAGGAAGTGGACCTACGGGAGCTTTACCCTTGCCCAGGGTCACTTTGCCGGACACTCTTCTGTGTTCTCAACCCACCGCCTCCCGGGGATGTTTGAACCGCCCCGTGGCTCGCGAGCTCCGTGCTCCCCAACAACCCTGCCCGGTGTCTTGGGGTGCGGGATGGGGGTTGTCGTTCTTGTCTTTCCTCCTTCCATTCACCAGCTGGTTTGGGCCTGCAGGAGAGTTTCCGACCTTGCAAAACAAGATGCGGGCCATCCTGCGCATCGAAGTGGAGGCCGTGCGCTTTCTGAAGGAGGAGCCGCACAAGCTGGACAGCCTCCTGAAGCGCGTGCGCGGCATGACGGACGTCCTGACCATGCTGCGGAGGTGACCGGGCGGCCGCCGGGCTGGGGGTGGCTCGCGGGGGATTGAGGGGCCGGGCAGGCTTGGGACGGAGGTCTTGAACTGCAGGCTCCCACCACGCTCCCAGGACCTGTCCCCATTTTTGTGACTTCCCAGGTCTTCTTTCCAGTGTCCTGGAGAGAAGCCGCGAGTCTGTGCCACCCTTGAACTCAGATTGCATGATGGCTGCAGGTTCTAATCCTCCACCTCAGGCTTGCTGTCGGGGGGCCCATCCTAGAGTTTAAAGTTAGAAGACACGGTAAACGTTTTTAAAAAATCATTGTAAGGTGGGTTTTTAAAAATAACATTTTGAAGTTGGAAGAATGGATCAAAATGCTTTATTAACCTCCTTCGCTTCAGGGGCATGGGGGACTTCAGTTAGAAGACACTGAGCAGAGGTTAGAAAAGCTTTTCTTAAATTACCTACTGAAAGAGTATTCGAGAGGTTGCGGGTCCCACCTAGAAAAGAGAAGCAAACTCAGTTGAGTGGCAGGGACCTCTGCTCACTGATGAGGTCACAGTGGGAGAAAGAACAAAAGAAATCATGACTCATCCCTGACTTTCATTGAAAAGAAGATTCCAGAACTCCACAGCCACTAAAAAACTGCCGACATATATGTATGTGGGATTCGTGTTGCCATAAATACCTCTGCAAATGACATCCTAGCCTGTTACATGCCCTGCCATTGAGTTACAGTTAGATTTCTTTCTTCTCAGCATCATGATGACAAGGACTTACCCCAGTGAGCGTGTCTGTGTACCAGGCACTGAACTGATACCTTTGTATTTATTAGCTCATTCAGTCCTAATTAAAAACCCTGTAGGGCAGGCGCTGTTATTCCCATGTTAGAGGTAGAATCTGGGGTCTCAGGATATTCCCTGCAAGTCCGAGGTGAAGCTCGGATATAATCCCATAGTTTTTTTTTTTAGCATATTATGGGGGTACAGATGTTTAGGTTACGTATGTTGCCCTTACTCCCCCTCCCCCCCAAGTCCGAGTTTCAAATATGTCCATCCTTCGGGTAGTGCGCATTGCACTCCTTGTGTATACAAATACCCGTCCCCTCTTCCCCCCTCCGCCTCTAATCCCATAGTTTGACTCCAGAATTCCTACTGGTTCTCGTCCCACAGCTCAGGCGGTCGGTAACAGACGTTCTCTCGGTGCCAGCCCTACTGTGGGTATCACAAATCCAGTAATAAACAAGACAAACGGGACCTCTGCCTTGTAAAACTTATTTTCTCACGTGGGAACTAGACACGGAACAATAACCAAAAATAGACCCTTCCCAGCAGTGGCAGTCCCCAAGTTTTTAGTGTTTTTTTTTTATTTTTTGTTTTTTTTTATTTCAGCATGTTATGGAGTTACAGATGATTAGGTTACGTATGATGCCCTTACCCTCCCTCCCCCCCAAGTCCGAGCTTCAAGTGTGTCCATTCCCCCAGAGGTGCGCATCGCACTCATTGTTTGTGCATATGCCCGTCCCCTCCTCCCCCCTCCCCAACATCCAATACATGTTATTCTTATACGTGCACTTAGATGTTGATCAGCTAATACCAGTTTGATGGTGAGTACATGTGGTGCTTGTTTTTCCATTCTTGGTATACCTCGCTTAGTAGAATGTGTTCCAGCGCTTTCCAGGAGTATATAAGAGGTGCTATATCACCATTGTTTCTTAAAGCTGAATAGTACTCCATGGTATACATATACCACAGTTTATTAATCCACTCATGTATTGATGGACACTTGGGTTGTTTCCACATCTTTGTAATTGTGAATTGTGCTGCTATGAACATTCGAGTGCAGGTGTCTTTTTCATAGAGCCACTTTTGCTCTTTTGGGTAGATGCCCAGTAATGGGATTGCTGGGTCAAATGGTAGTTCTACTTGTGTCTCTTTAAGGTATCTCCATATTGCTTTCCACAGAGGTTGCACTAGTTTGCAGTCCCACCAGCAGTGTATGAGTGTTCCTATCTCTCCGCATCCATGCCAACATTTATTGTTTTGGGTCTTTTTGATAAAAGCCAGTCTCACTGGAGATAGGTGATATCTCATTGTGGTTTTGATTTGCATTTCCCTGATGATTAGAGATGTTGAGCATTTTTTCATATGTTTTTTGGCCATTATTCTGTCTTCTTTTGCAAAGTTTCTGTTCATATCCTTTGCCCACTTTTTGATAGGGCTGTTTGATTTTTTCTTGCTGATTTTTCTGAGTTCTAAATAGATTCTGGTTATCAGCCCTCTGTCGGATTTGTAGCATGCAGAAATTTTCTCCCATTCTGTGGGTTGCCTGTTTGCTCTTGTGACAGTTTCTTAGTTTTTTAACAGAACTAGGAACTTGCCCTTCAGATCTTGGACCAGAGTTGAGAGCAGGTCGCAGGCAGATGTAACATATAGGAAACCTTCTTGTGAGAATTTTAGTCCCTAGCTGTAATCACTTGATCAGATCTGTAAGAGAAATATATTAAGTGTGCAAATAACCTCAAGATGAATTATTAACCATAAGGAGTAAGCGAGATGTTTCTAGTAATGAACAACGTCAAGAAAGAGCCCCTTTGAGCTGGTAACACTCTGGAATTCTGTGTAGTCACCTCTGTAAGTTGCAGGATGCGAAAGGCATTCTGAATTAAAACGAAAAATTCCTCGTCCCGGGGAGTCCTTATCTAACCCTGTACAGGAAGAAATTGTACCTGTATTAAATTTTCTTATGGGTTCACTCATTTTAAAAGGCCAAAATGAACTCTTTCTTCCAGTGGGAGAAAAATCTGTCAAAAGAACTCTTCACCAAGCTCTTAACTAAATGTGGTAACCCACCCACAGAGCCTGAAGACAAACCACCGTTATTAAGTAAACTGTGGCAGGTAACGCCACCCCACTCTCCCTTCTCTTTCCTGAAAAAAGAATAAAAAGATACTTTTACAGTCAGAGGGATGATGCTCAGTATTTTCCTTATCTCCAGTGAACCCGAGTTCTAAAAAAAAAGATGGGATTGTGTGTTTTGAATGTGACGCTTTGTCCCATTAAATTCTGGGTGGTGAGAGTGATACATAAAGCCAGTTAAGTTTAAAAATATAAATACAAGGAATTTTAGCTGCCATCGGACCTCCCCTCACAAGCCTTTATATAATTAACTTTGTCTTAGTATCTTTTGTGTCTACCGCGCTATACCCGGCACCGTGGAAGACACAAGGAAGAAGGTAGGAATTTGCACGCCCCTCCCCAAGGACATGCACACGTCCTGGCGCCTCGGTGGGGAAGGTGCAGCAGGTGACAAACAGTCACAGTTCAGAGCAGACTTGGGGGCTTGGGAAGAAGCTGAAGGGATGTGGCCCGTGTTGAATTTGGGGTGTCGGAAGGCTATCCGAACAGAGCTGCCCACTGGGCACTTAGAACAGTGGGCTGAAGTTCAAGAGACAGTTGGAGAGGGACCCCTGCCTAACACGGAGGGAGGGAGGCAGGATTGATTTAGAATCGGAAGTCACCTTCATGGAGATGATTATTGAAAATGGAAGAAATGGCCAAGGTAGAGTGATAGGGAAAGGAGAGAAAAGTCCTTGGGGATTTAAAGGGCTGGGGTAGATAAAGCGAACAGCAAAAGAAACAGAGAAGTGAGGAGCAGAAGAGTTATAGCATGTGATGTCTTTTTTCAACTTAAAAAAGCATTATAATAAGAGAATGAGGAACTAATTAAAAATTATGTCTTACATATCACTTTACAATGTTAATCCTAACAACCCCTCAGGAAGGCGTCGTCATTGTCATTTTCATCATTGCGTTTTACAGAAAAGTCTGTGAGGCTCATAAAGGTGAGCATTCTCGGCATTACGGAGCTAGAACATGGTAGAACTGATGTTCAAACACGGGTCTGTCTGCCACCAAAGGCCCTGTCACTGCACCATGGCCAGAGATGGACAGATAGCATCACAGTGACTCCAAAAATCACAGGAGGATGAGGACTAAACACAACTTTTAGATTTGGAGTCACTGTTGACCTTGCCAAAGACTTGGCTGAGTCTGGGTGGGGAAACCAGTTAGCAACAGGTTTCCTGAGATACAGAGGAAGAGCAAAGAGAAGGAACTGGCATGCAGGCTGCCCTCCCAAGATGCTTGGCAGGGGGAGCAGGGAAGGAAGAGGGGTTCGAGGAAGCTGTTGGGTTGGAACCAAGCTCATTCGAGGGCTGCGCAGGCCGGGATGGGGTGGAGGAGTTAGAGGGAGTGTCGTTAGACTCGCGTCGTTCACTTCCTGCCACCACCAGCCAAACAATGATGGAGTCGCAAGAGTCTGGGCACAGCAGTGCCCACCAAAAGGGATATTCTGATAGATATCCCTGAACTTGTTTTCCAAGTTCTGGGGTGTTTGAATCTCACCTGGCTTTGGGATGCCATAGCCTTCAGGTGTATCTCAATGGTGACAAGGAGGTGATGGATACTAACAGGTAACGCTGCTGTGCATGATTTCTCCTAGACATGTCACCGATGGGCTCCTGAAAGGCGCAGACGCAGCCCAGGCCGCACAGTATGTGGCTATGGAAAAGGCCATGGCTGCAGAAGTCCTGAAGAACCAGGAGGAGGCAGCCCACACCTCCGGCCAGCCCCTCCACGGCGCAGGCGTCCCTGGCGATGTGAAGTCGGAAGTGGTCCTTGTGTCCGGCATGACAGTCCACCACGCACAGAGCTCTCCCGTGGTCATCCAGCCCTCCCAGCACTCCTCGGCCCTGCTGAACCCTGCCCAGAACTTGCCTCGCACAGCCAGCCCCCCAGCCAGCACCCAGGAAGCGGCCTCCACCCTGCACCCGGCACACGTTCCGCAGTCCCCACAGACGCCCATGAACGGGTCCACCATGCAGAGCTTGTTCATCGAGGAAATCCACGGTGTGGGTGCCAAGAACAGGGCAGTGTCTATTGAGGTAGAGTCCGATTGCCATTTCTCATAACCCCACAAGGAGTCTGACACACGATCCTTTCCCTCTAAGAGTTTACAGTCTGGTTTGTAGAGATGATACACACATGGAGATATATTTTTGGAACTAGAAATTAGATTCAATGGCCAGGTTAAAAGTTACATCATCTGGTTTTAAAGAAGGGTGAAACACCTAACTTATAGAAAGGTGGGGCAGTGGTGTGCTGGCAAATGTTTAACAACTGGCTCTCTGAGAGGAAAAGCCCTGATGTGTAGCATTTGCCAATTTCCCTGGTGTAAATATTGCCCCACATGGCTGATTTCAAACTATACCGTGACATCAGTGCAGATGAAGTTGGAAAGAAATGTGACAATCAACTCTCCTAAGCCAGGGCAAGCTGGCTGAAGCATCCCACTGGGGTGAAGGCAGGACTGGGGAGGGTTTCCCACCGATCTGGGAAGATAGTGGAATCTAGGTTAGCAGAAAAGGGTGGTGAGGGCATTCTAGGCTGCAGGAATACAGGACCAAAGGCCAGGACCATGAGTAACTCTGTCTAAGTAGAACAAGAAAGAGAAGAGAAGACGAGAGAAACAGGCTGGAGTCTGATTTGAGAAAGCTTGGAAACCATTCCAAGGTGTCTGAAGTTTACTTTGAAGGTATCAGAGAAATGCTGCAGTTTTAATCCGTGATTTTTTTAAAATGACATCTTTAGGAAATTAATCTGGAAACAAGATACAGGATACAGATTTGATTGAAGTGTTAGGTCTAGGATTAAGGGAGCTGGATGAGAAGTTATCGTCACCTAAGAATGAAAGGTGACGGCAATTAGAACAGAAAAAGACACGCCATGCTTTTAAATGTTTTTATCAAGAGCTGGCACCAATGCACGAATAACACATTTTGCATCCCCAGAGGCCCTATAACTTTCCCTCCACTCACTACTCCACCCCCAGCAATGTGGTCCTGGCCCTTCCTGGCTGCCTTGAAAGTCACCAGTGAGCAACTCGGGTTGGGTACATTGAGATGACCTCACAAGACTACTGCCATCACGGTCACGGCTGCTGGGCCTCTGAGCACTAGATAGTTTCTCTCTGTTCCAAGGGCAGTGGCTGAGCCTCTAATTGGAATCAGCTATTTAAAAAATGCATATCCCAGGAGGGCATGGAATGTGATTGGCAGAGTGTGATTTTATCCCTGTGCCTAGGAGAGTAGGCGAGGAAAATACATCTCCTCCTGCAAATTGGTGAATCCATCACTTAAGACAACTCACCACTTTAACCATCTTAATATTTAAAGGATGTCAGTATGATGACTCTTTTATTTAACAAATACCTATTCAGAACCTAGTGGGCATAATTATTGTCATGTGTGTGTTTTAAGTTTTGAGAGGAGACTTGTGAGTCACATCTGAAAAATGCCCTGATCTGCAAGTAAGGAGGCCTGGGTTTTGTGCCAACTCCACCACTAGCGAATGGGGCAAGCTTTATTTATTCAATGGAGAGAGCTTAGTCCCACGAGGCACCGGCCCTTGTAGGCTCTGGGACTAGACCGAACAGAAGAGACAAAGTCTCTGTCCTAGAGAAACTTACTTACTTGTAGGGAGAGAAAACCAGTATATGCCAGGTGTTAATAAACGCTAGTAAGAAAAATCAAAGAGGACAAGGATAGTGAAGGTGGTGGATGTTATTTCTAGAGAGTGAATCTTGGGCAAATTCTGCATCTCACCGGGCCCCAAAGTTCCCATATGTAAAATGTGTAGATTCAGTGATATTTGCTAATTCTCACATTATGGGGTTCCACTATTCTGGTGTGAATTTCCACTCTGCCCTCCTGGAATGATTAATGTGCTGTCCATAAAATCACAGGAAAATGTTCTTTTACAAAGTGTACAGGTTGCCGGGCATGGTGGCTCACACCTGTCATCCCTGAACTCTAGGGGAGGCCAAGACAGGACGGTCACTTGAGGCCAGGAGTTCCAGATCAGAATGGGCAACATTATATTTTTTGTCTACACACACAAAAAATTTTTTTTTAATTAGCCAGGTATTGTGGTGTATACCTGTAGCTGTAGTCCCAGCTACTCAGGAGGCTGAAGCAGGAGGATTGCTTGATTCTGGGAGTTAGAGGCTGCAGTGAGCTATGATTGCACC